GTAACACTGGATGCGCGTTCTGCGAGAGGAAAGCAGGTGGAATATGAACCCTCGTCGCGTCTGTCGGGAATATATGTACGCTTGTGTGGGACTTGGTTGGGTTCACTTTTTTTTTTGTTTTTTTTTTATGTTCCGCTGTCAAGCCGAAAATTCAGCTCATCGACAGCGCGCGAGCGAAAAACGATTTTCATTCCGCCGCCGAAGCGTCCGCCACGCTGGAGCATCTGCGTAACGAGCGCGATTCTGGAACAGTTAGAAACCTCACAGTTGGAAGATAGAATGTAACTATGAAAGCGCACGTCAAACGTAAACTCGTTTATTTCTCGAAGTCGAAGACGTAACAGAGGTAGTTTCGAGATGTATAACGACAGTTCGTTTCTCTATTACGCCGCCGAGGAATTCAATCGGATTGTACCACCGGTCATTACGTAATTATGGTTAATAATCAGTCGGAGGATTAATGACACTGATGTATCGAGATCTCGAACGAGGCGGAGAGGAGATGGATGATCCGATGATGGCGTTGATCGGTTGGAATTTCCTGCGTGCGTCTTGAAGCAGAAGGAAATAGAGATCCGCGCGATGTTTTGATACGACGACGATTGTGGATCTTCATTTCTTTTTCTTGCTTCCTCGACGTGATCGTAAATCGTCTTCTCGCGGCTATAGTTTTCAATATCTTTATACACACGTGTGTCTTCTTGCGCAGTGTGTCGTAAATCAAACACGAGCGCCTCATCTCCGTCGTCGCTGATCGTTGCGTACAAAGCAAATTGTTGCTCGAGTCCTTGGACTATATTTGAAGCGCTTTTCAAAGGAGAAGAAACGACTTTGACTTCTTTTTGAAAATATCGCGAGCAAGAAACAATACATTGTATATTCCGCGTCTCTCTCTCTCTCTCTCTCTTTTTCCAAGAAGAAGAAGAGTCTTCAAAACGTACACGTTTCACAAAATTGAATAAGCCGTTGTTGCGTGCGAATATTAAATCCTTGCTTTAATGAGAAAAGTTACAATTGTTGGGAAATATATTGGAATACATTGCGAGAGACGCATTTTGAGCGAATCGAGCAAGACGGAAGTTCTATGCGGAGTTGAAAGTCGTGTAAATGCGAAATAGCGTAACGCCCAAGCGAGAAGAGAGAAAGAGAGAGAGAGAGAGAAAGAAAGAGAGAGTGTATTTCTCGCAAAAATATTTGCCTCAACTCGTCGTCCCTGCCTCGTTGTCCTTGCTGATGCGACAAGAAACTCGTCCGATTTAGTTTTTGTGCAAAACAACAACAAACGCGCGACGAAAACTTTATGCGCGCCCGGCTTTACGAACTGGAACCGACCTTCGTCCGCGAATCCTTCGTCGGCGCGTCCTACCGTCGCGAATGTTTTAAGGACATCGGGCGAGGAAACACGGTTGGCAGACAATTTCGCGAGAAACGTTCAAAGTTTCGCATCAAACGACCCTCGCGACGTTTTCTGCGATGTTACGTTGATGAGGAAAAGATTTTTTACATCAGGTTGTAAAAATAGCGATTTGACGTACGAAAAATATTTGCTATTGAGATTTACGGTCGAACGATGATGGAATGTTCTCCTGTGTAGTTGCGCGTGTGGAATATTGTGACGTATCGCGACGAAAGGACTGAAAATATATTTGATTCTCGTTTATATTTGCCATTGAACGGTTGAACGACGCGACGTATTGCCTGTCGATGAATGATTTCGACGAATTCTTTTTTTTTTTTTCACGGCCGATTTCGTTCGGTTAATTGGAAAAGTTACGTGTGCGATGCGATTGAATCTCCCGACTATACCCACATACGACTCTCAAACGAAAACACGCTCGATCGCCGGCCGATAATCTACATGGCTTTTTTTGTTTGTTTGTTTGTTTGTTTTTATAATGACAAAACCAGCAATCTGCTCTTTAACGACAGAACCGGCTCGTTTGCTCTCGGTACAATTTGAAATCGGTTAACGAGGTTATCTAAACCGAATTTTCCTCCGCTGTAATCTCCCCGGCGCGGAGACTTAAACGAGACCAGCGAGTTGAGAAAGTTTTCAATTATCGAGATTTCGTGCGATTTACTTTGTGATTAAAGTATCCTCGATCGTTCTTCGAGAGATAGAAAGAGAGAGAGAGAGAGAGAGAGAAAAAAAAAAGATGGCAAATTGATTGATCATTTTCAAGCGATAAGAGCGCGCGATGAAGAAAACGTATTCGATTTTTCAGCAAAAAACTTTATATAAACTCTCACATATACTGTCGCGGTTTAAAAAATTCCTCTTAATGAATTTTCCATAGTGAGAACAAGTTCCCACAATATATCGATGTATCGCTGCAATATGCCGCTTGGGAGGTCGAGGAGGATGATCTTTAACCGGAGGAACGCGGAGCGAATATCGCCGAGATTGCAAGAGGCGGTCAGAGATCACGCGCGACCCAATTTGATTACAAGGCAACGTTCTGGTCGTAATTATTGCCGTGGCGCTAACCGCGTTACGTCGTGCGTTAGACCGAAGGAGCTCCACCTGCGCTTGCCACTGCGCTTCGAGACATCCGGCCGAGTGGCTTCGCGTCGACCAATCAGTTCAGACCGAGTTCACTTCGAATAACTATTCCAATTAACAGTAAATACGTACGGTACTACACGGACTCCTCTGACAGCTCGTCGTTTGTTCCGCGATCACTCCGTAAGATGTTACAACCGAGAGAGAGAGAGAGACACTTGGTCTTGCCTCCGCGCGCGTCATTAATTCTTCATACTTGACAAATATTCTTATTGACAGCCATTCAGACAGATTGACTTGCCGACGCGTCGTCGCCCACTTCGCTCGTCGAATACATCTCGTCAACCGTTTCCTGCGACATATTTCTTCCGTTGATGTTTATGGGCCGTGAGAGAAAATTTTATCGCGCGCACCATGTTTATAAAGTCTGCGCGCGCTCGGACGGATAAAAACAGATCTAATTGGTTCGATGATAAATTTACATCTAATTAGTTCGGTAACGGCGGATCTTTTTCGGGATGCAGTGTATCGAATTGTCAAGCACTCGAACGGTGTTTCGCACGGTCACATTTTTAGTATACAGAATAATGATGACGGACACATCGGAATGTTTTATTGTTAGAGAGACACAAGTGTGTTGGATTTATACACAAGCAAACAACACGAAAGTAGTTCGCGAGACAAAACTTTACAGAAACGTGTGATGGAAAGTCAACTGAAAATTACTCTCCGAGTTGCGTTTAAATAGAAACGCGAACTGAAATTGCGCGATTTTATCTGATATTAAAATGCGATCGCAACGCGGTGATATAAGTCTCTCTTTTGTAAACGACAAGGATAAAGTGGACTCGTAATTCAGATCGAAGGATATGCTGATAAATAGAGAGAGAGAGAGAGAGAGAGACAAGGAGAAGTGAGAGAAAAGCCAGGACGGCGATTCAAAACGATTTATTGACCTGTTGACGATTTATTTATTGCCTTAGACCGACTCGATGAAAGATTACATTTCTGGATGCTAAACGATGTTTATAATGAATAATCGTGGTTTGCAAAGATCGACATGCACTTTGCACAAATCAAGGAGGAAGAAACGCGGAGTGTGGTGGGAGAAATCGAGAAAGAAAGAGAGAAAGACGGATAGCCGTAGTTCGCTGCACCTGACTATTTATAACAAATCAATAGGTGCCGTCAGCTGGTGCGTTCCTCGCGTGCGGGTCTTTCTTGCACTTGCAAACGGTTCTTGCGCGTATATACAGATTTTTTTTCGTTCGATCGCGTCATGGACAAAGAAGTTTTTCATTATTGAATTTTTTTAATTAAATTTAACGAAAAAATTTGCAACGCGCGATGTTTTTACGTGTGAAAAACATATTGTGTTGCATAAGAAAAGCCTTTTAAACGACCGGAGGAACGTGATATAATTTAATCGCGATCGATGACTCACTGTGTCAGCTACGACGGTGTAAAAAAAAAAAAAAGATATGTTATACCTTCACGTTATCGCGATATTAGTCATCGAAGGTTTTCATAGAAAGAATAAATAATTACACTTATTAATTCACCATTGTTATCGTTCGTCGCAAAAGTTTTCAATGACTTGCTGTCCGCCGCGCGATATTAACTTTCAGTATTTTGTCGAGCATACTCGGACGCGCGCAGTGCGGAAAAGAGTTTTACACGCTGCGTCACAATCAATGTTGACAAAAGCGAGCGCAAATGAGAATTGTGTTTTAATCAGACACAGTCTGATTCTCTTTCTCTCTCTTTAACAGAGGAATTGCGTCCGATTCAACTTCCAATTCGTTTATTCGCGGTATCGTAAACAATCACGCGATATTAATTGCTGCATCTGCGGTTTTACCGCTGTATTCAATTACGCGGCAGGATCGACATCCAACGAAATTAACGGGAGAAAATCCGAAAAAGCTTTTTCAGCTCGTTCGATCGCGCTCACACTCGAGCGCGGCGGTTTCCGCTGCGGATTCCGCGCGGTATCTTTGCGGTACACCGAGCTGATTCGGCGGGATGAAATCAGTCTTTCCTCGTGGAACGCGGTAGATCGCTGTGTGTTTGTGTTTGACCCAGGCAAAAGTCTCGAGTTCTTCCTCAGCGCTGAAGTCAAAGCACAATTTATTGTTACTCCGTATAATATAACTGTCTTAAGTGTATTTCTATTTCTATCTACATGTATTTCAGCAAGAGAAATTATTCTCTTGCGCGGCGACAAGGTTGTTTCTTAGATCGTCAGAAGGTACGTTACAACTTTTCTAAGGCGATGTCTTGGGAGAGGAGGGGGGGCATACAATAAATGATGTATAAGAAAAAACTCTATTTTTCTCCGAACAAATCTATGAAAAATATTCTTTCGACAAGATATTCTTTGTGAAAAGTTGCAAAAAGTTTCTGAAAGTCTCCATCCACCAAAGCGCACAATTCGCTTATACTATATATTTGTGCGACTTTTTGTCGCGACGAATAAAAACGGGTGATATTTTAGCTCAGTCGATCGAACTGGACGACGACTCGAGTCATGCGGCAAAACGAGGAGTAGCGGCGGGTCGGCGCAACGCATTTTCAAACGAGAATCTTCCTTGTACTCCCTTCCCCGCGTGTTTCGTGCGTGTGCACAACATAGACATTCATCATGTTCGCCGCGATGGTGCTGCACAAGCATAACAAGCACAACAACGGGAATCACTCGAATCACCACGCGAGCAACAACAACTCCACCAATTCCACCAACACCAGCACCAATCATCATCTCAACAACAACAATCACATCAATAACAATGTCAACAACGTGAACCAGGCGTACAGCACGAGAGCGGTAAGTGAAAGTGCATTTTTGCGAAAAATTCCATCGCTCGATTCTTTCATCTAGCCTTTTCACGGACATATTTTCGGCCGCACGAAATTCTTCGCGCGCCGTAATCCCGGAAATACTTGTCATTTTTCGCGGAAATTTCTAATTTGTTGAAAAAGTTATTCGAGAACATTTTTTTTTTTTTTATCCAAAAGAAGAAAGAAATAAATCTCGTTTGAATACATATTTCGAGGTAAGCTTGTCTTTCAATTCAATCAAGTTTCTTTACGAGCTTGTTTCTGAACGAAGACTCACAATCGCGCACACAGAAATTGCGCGACTCGTTAGATGCAAATTTCGTATCTTTTTCGCACAGTTGTATTTCTCAAAGCGCGAACCCGTCCCGGCGGGTAACCAGATTTTGCCGACTGCGGCAAGATTTAGAAGGATTTTTATCAGCCGCGGAGTGAGAAAGATTCGGACGGGAGAGACGCCTTTCGTTTTTCGGTCGGACGGAAGGACGTTGGAGAAAAGAAAATTTTTCCGCTCGAAGGGAAATCGCGTTTACGGCGCGCTAAGGGTGGGTCTTATCTCTCGCGTTGCAGAAACGATCCCGAAGAAGCGCCGGCGATATTCGCTGACGTCGTCGCCGACGACTCGTACCTACTGCGAAATGCGACGCGCATTGGTCGCAAATTTAGTCTTATCTCATTTTTGTTGTTTTTTTTTCTTTTTCTTATTCCTTCTGTCGCGTCCTTTCACTCTATTTCTCCCAGCATCTCTCTGACATTCATTTTTCAATTCCGTCAAAGATAGCGACGACGCGGAAGAGGTCTTTTTTATGCCGCGAACGAGAAAACGAGGTTGTATCCTTTTTTTTTTTATCATTTTATTTGTCACTTTTTCTCGTGAAAAATTCTTCGTAAAAAACACCTTCGTTGTAGAAAAATATGTGCATAGATACATCAAGCGAGTATCTTCATGAAATCGTTATTTCTCTTTTAATTCAAAAAAACAGTCGCATCGAGAAGCTTCCCGGGAGCGATTAAACTGAGAATTCAAATTCGATTTTAAACGCCGGATCTCTGCGGTTAAATTTAAATGGCACCGCATATGACGTATTACTTTAGCGCGCACAGTGGATTATATCGGCTTAATGTTTTGGGATTTTGCCGCGAATCTTCTATTTCACATGCGGTTCGTTAAAGTGGCACAAGGTATTTCGGTTTCAATTTTCCAGAGCACACTCGCGTGGCTACGAAAGATTGAAAATGGCGAAATCGACGAGCGGTTGATATCGAAATATATTTCGCGAAATACAATATCGGCGAGGTTGGTTAGAGTGTAACGCTATGTGACAGAATTTGTTTTTTTTCATAGAAGCGGCTATAAAGCGCGGCGACGTGCGCGCGGCGAGTTTCGACAAGAGATGGAATTTGTTCTGTTACGCGAAATCTGGGTTTTGAAGACTGGTATTGATTTATGCTATTTCTATAAACCGCTCCGCCGCAGTTGTCATCGAATTGCTTTTCTTTCTTGTCGGACGAGCAACTGTTCCATTTACATATTCTTACCCCGCAATTTATTTTCTTTTTTCTTCTTTTCGATCGTATATTTGAGACTTCGTGAAAATTGTAATCGTTCCCGATATTGCCATCGCGCTATTTGTTTGAGGTTTTTTTTGTAAATTGAGATAGTGGTATGAACATTTCACACACAGACTAAATAATACGCATTCGAGACATTCGCTCATTTCGCGGTTTCCTTCATTTTATTTTCGAATTACAGTTGCGGTTTTATTGTTTCGCGGCGCGATCTGCATCCTGTTTGCCGTCTGGTGGGCGGTTTATTTTTTGAGCGGTTCAGGGGTTGGAGGACTTCGAATGAGTTAATTGCATCTGTCGGTTCGCTCTTCCTCCCTTCCTCTCCTCTTTTCCCCTCTCCGAATCAAGTCGGAACTCGGAGAGGGTTGTATGCAAATGAAGTTGCGAGATTAAGTCCTTTGTGCTACTCGGTCCTGATAACGAACACGCTTAAAAGACCCGCTCGAAACGCTATAAATTAACAACTAGATTAAATCGTCCACCGCTCTATCCTGGACGTCTAGCGTCTTTTATAGCTCGTCGGTTTCCTCGCATCATTTACCTTGTGTTTGAGCGGCGAGTTACTCGGCGAGACGACCGACGTCGCGTCAGACTCTTCCCGTACATTTTTTATTCCCTCGACAGAAGAGATAGAGCTCTTTTTAAGTGCAACGATATATATAACATGTGCTATCATTTCTCACAGCTCGAGACAAATTTTATAAAATACAACTTGAATAAAATATTGCTTATCAAAACAAGAAAAGTATAAAAAAAGAAATTAACTCGATACATGTTGTTTAAATTTTTTATACATTTACAAATAAATTCGTATTGAAGAAAAACCTTGCGTGATAAAAGTGGAGTTTTGTTAAGCTTGCGAACGTGTAACAAGTTTTGCACAACAGATTTCAAGTAGCTAAATGAGCTTCGCCGAAGAAACAAGATTTTCACATTTCTCCCCGTCGTCGTCCCTTAAACGCTCGCTCGTAGGGCGAGAGAGTGTCGCCTATGTATGCAGGAGACAAAGGCAGTTAAATATATCGAGGTGAAGTGGAATAAAGCTCGTTTTTGCTCGAAAGGAAAAGGCCTCTCTCTTGCCCGCCGGCCGGAGACTCTCCCTTGTTTCGTTGTACCTTTCGTAACTTCCCTTCCCTCGGTCTGCGCGTCGTTTCTCAACCGCCGCGTAATTCGATTTCGAAGCACGGCGAGACTTTGCTTTGTGCGACTTCTCCCGGGCCCTCTCTTCTCCCCCACGCCGGCTTGAAATAACTTCATAAAGGGCTTCGATCTCTCCCCGGACTGGATTCCGTGTACGCGATACATCCTATCACGAACTACCGACGACGGTGTAAAACAAAAGGAAGACAAAATTTGACAGACGTCAGAAAAAAGAGAACAAAGATCGCGCGATTTCGAGCGTATAAAAGATGTGGATTTATTAAAACTTGGCAAAAATTGTTCTTCCACTTTCGAAGTTGCGGTTTGCAAAACAACAATTCTGTTCAAACGTGCGACATTTTCCGAAGGAATATCTCGCGAAATATAACGTTTGCCGAAATAATTTTACGTAAACAATTTCATTTTTGCGAGATTACTACGAAGAAATAATTTGTTAGAGAGAATTCGGATCCCGCATAATTTCCGCATTCTGATGAATTCCGTGCGTCAAATATGAGCTGACAAAGGGAATGACGGGGATTGTGATTAAAAATGTCAGCGATGATTAAAAACGAAGACTTTAATCCTAGATAAGAAAAAAAAGAACAGAAAAAGAGGTCGACTTGGGTGAACGATGAAACCCGGTCCGTGAGTCGAGGAGAAAGAGTTTCGATATTTGCGCGCTTTTCAGAATAGCAACTCTATTAACGGAAAATCAATAAACTATTAATCTCAATCGGCCGGAACCGATATGAATGGTCTCCGAATATCAATATTTTTCTTGTAATAAGTATTCAATGAGATTCGGACCGTAAAAAACTTTTTGCAAATGCCATTTTTTTCCATTCACACGAATGATTTCCATCGGATTTGGAAACATTTTGAATAGCCACGCGAAATTATTCATTTCTCCCTTTTCGTTTACATAAGAGATTTTATATCAGCGACGCGTCGAAGGCAAATCCGACGGCATGTTTGCAAAACGTTGATGCGTTCCATTAACGCGTCGGCGAAGCGAGACGGATCCGTCGGTCCGAAAATTTCACCCTCTCTCTCGTCGTCGGAGGGATGTACGGCGGGGAAGAGAGAGGGTGTGATGTTATCCCAGGAGGGGAAGCCCGGGCGAGACCGCATCTCACCCGCGTTGCCAAGGTTATGCTTGGACAATCAATGGACCCGGTTGTAATCGGCACGATTATAAACGGGTGTTCGCTTAACGCGAGGCCATCATTAATGTCCGACAAATTGGCCCGTGCTTTTGCAAATAGCTAACACGACGCCGCTATATGCCCTCTCTCGTCGCGGATGGGGAAAAACGTCGACGTCATTACGGCATTGATCGTCATTTCCGGGATGGAAGGTGATTACCGTCAGCAGCAGCGCGAGACAGCAAGCGCGAGACAGCAAGCGCTCGATAATTTCGAGAACGATTTCGAGCTTGTTCGCGCGGTTCCGCAATAATTAGCTCTCACAGAATTGATTTGCATGCACATTTGTATATATACATGTACGCGCGATACGTCACACGCGAGCTTTTAACTAACCCCACTCATGTAACACACTCGTCAAATATTTAAGCACGCGCGCGTTTATTGTTGATAATTCTCCTCTATTGTTGCCTCGCAACAACTGAATTCCGGAGGTTTATTATATTCGCGCGGATTTGCGCGACGCGTCGTCGACGGGATTAAACACGCGCGCTCGGCAAAAAGTGCTTCCACGTGCGTGCGCGTTGAATAACGCATACCATGTCGCGCCATGAGAATCGGAATATATTGGAGTTTAATCCCCCGACGTGACGTTTCTCTCCTAGTCGGGGTTATTAAAAACGTAGAACGAGGAAGAGGGAGAGAGCGGCAATTATTTTACGACCGTCATAACGGAGTTCCCTTCTTCGCGTTGTGAACTTTATATAGGATATAAAAGAGTCCAAGTTCCGATGTGATCGCGTCATCTCGTAGCGACTTCTGGGAGGGTTTGCCGTCGTCTTCCATTTATGTAGCGTCATGCCAACTCTCTCGAATCTATAAAACACACACAAATCCTCTTCCTTATACAATGGTATTGCGCGAGTGAACGTTATTCCCAGTGTCGCTACGTTACCAGTCGTTTGGATGTTTTCTTGGCGTATATACAAAAAGGAAGCATACGTTTTTATATTCGGAATGTCCCCGAATACATGAATGACTGATAAAAGATCGTATTTGATTCGCGAATATTTGGATTCCGATGCCAACTTGTGTTTGTTTTACATTCTGTTGAATATATATGTGTATATAC